ATTTTTAGATTATAGGCCTGATTCAAGGATTATAGGCATGATTCAATGTTTTTCAAAGTAAACATCGATTGATTCAAGGATTATAGGCCTGATTCAAAGCTCAAAGCTCAAAGTTCCATCGATTTTTCAGAGTAAACATCAAATTTCATTTGATAGAACCAGAGTAAAATTTTACTTTGGTTCTATTGCTCTGTTTTTTTCATTTGACAGAACCAGAGTAAAATTTTACTTTTATACAGAGTAAAATTTTACTTTTAATTTCAGAGTCTTACAGTTTACTTATTTTTCAGAGTAAAGTAAAATTTTACTTTTAGTTTCAGCGTGTAAAATTTTACTCTCATTCATAGTAAAATTTTACTTTTATACAGAGTAAAATTTTACTTTTATACAGAGTAAAATTTTACTTTTAGTTTCAGAATGTAAAATTTTACTCTCATTCATAGTAAAATTTTACTTTTATACAGAGTAAAATTTTACTTTCATACGGAGTAAACTTTTACTCTGAAATACATAGTGAAAATGTCTTAATAGGAGAGCTGATAGATATGAGGGTAATATAGTAAAAGAAACAAGTTTAAAAATATCAGGGAGTTTTGAAAGTACTTATATAATTCTTGTCTTTTTGAAAGAGAAATTAGATAGTGAGGGGGCTATGACCAAATCCCCCTATTTATTTCTACGTATATTTTACATTCCTCATACAAGCAAGCATATGTTAACCAGATTCGGCCATATTGGGCCTCAAATTTCGACAAATTTTAAGGTGTTATTTAGTAATACATACGTTTTTAATTTTTTGTTTATGTTTAAAAAAATATAAAAAATTCAAACAAAAACTTGTTTGGTAAATTTTTAATTTATAAATCAGTGGTCTTAGTTTATAAATTTGGCCAAAAAATATAAATTCAAAAAATGTGTTTCCGTTTTGAGTTTTGATTTTTTTTTTTTTACCACCCAACACTAGCTACAATTCGCCACCATTTTCCACCACCGTCTTCTGCCACTACCACCTACCACTCACCCCCCACCACCACCACCCGCCGCCCCCACCACCATGCCACCACATCCACCTCCACTTTCGTTTCACTACCACCACCACCACCACCAAACATAAAAAAATATTTTCTCCAAAAAATATTTTTTTTAAAAAAAAATTATAAAAAAAAAAAATTCCCTCAAATAAATTGAAAATATTCATCAACTAGATATCGATAGCCCCATAATCGAGTCCTAATTATTTTTTAAAATCATATTAACAGTTGAACTCCCAAAACTAGTGTGGTTAAAAGAAAGTTAATTCAATGTTTTTTTTTTTCTTTTATCTTTTCAATTTTTGGGTCCACTTACTTTTTTATAAATATTTTATTTGAGTATAAAAAATAGTATGTATTTAAAAAAATATTCAAAAAAATGCATAAAATTTGAATTTATTGTGTACATTAAATTTAAATGTTACGTATGTTACTCTCAAAATTAATTTGATATATATATTTTAAAGTTTACTTATTGTTCTAAAGATTAATAACACAGAAATAAATTTTTGATACACAATAATATGGTTTCTTGTGGCTCCTTTTTTGATCTGGCATGTAATTGTGGCTCCTTCATTGTGAATCAAAATATCAACTATTATGTTCATAATTTTATAAATATCAGACACATTATTCTGAATATATTTTTTTATATAAATTTTAAGTAAATGCTAACAAGCGTAATAAAAAAATATTTTAAAATTATTAAATTTAGCAATAAATATTTAGAGATCTATATATTTTATATATATATATATATATATTTTGGTACGCTTGGTACACTCATTAACGAGACTCTAAATTTTTATTTATAAACAAATCAATTTTCTTTTCTTCTAATAAATACAGAACATGTGTTTCATATTAATAATGTTGGGGATGTAAACCCCGTTCATGAAGCATCACCCACCCACCCACCACCACCACACACTCGCCACCACCCACCACCTACCATCACCACTTTCCACCACCATCTTTCGCCGCCACTTGCCGCCACTTGCCATTTCTCACTCTTTTATATATTTTTAAATTTTTTTAAACATTTTGTCAATTACCAAACGCGTTTGTAGTTTATGTTTTTTCTAAAAATAACCAAAAAATAAACAAAAATCAATTTATAAAATTTTGTAAATATAAACTGAAAACGTAAACGTTACCAAACAGACCCTAAGGATTTCATAATAATTGTAACTCTTATAATGTTTGTAGGTTTAAAAATAAAAGTCTAAACCAACTCATGTAATTTCACAATCTAAATTTAAGATTTTTAGAGCATCTCCAACTCTTCTTTTTTTCGATTTAATTTGATTATAAATTTGAATAGAAAAGTCGGTTTGATATAAATTACTCTAATTCTTTTATCAAATTTTTGTGAAAATTTTTCTAAAAATTCTCTTTGAATTCCAAATTTTCCTTTTCATCAACTTTGATGAAATAAGGTATCTTCAATATCTTTTTAAATTTTCATCAAATTCAAATTTGATAAAAAAAAAAAAAAATTGTTTCTCTTAAAGACCAAATCAAAAAATATATATTTATAAATCCCATTCATTATAGGTATGACTCACATTATTTTAACTTACAATTGACATTATACATTTTTAGAGTAAAAAAACTCAAATAAATGATTTTTTTATTATTATTTATACATGAAGGGCCCCAATTTTAAGATTCTGGGTCTCTGAAATCTCAAGGCCGGCCCTGATGTTAACAAGACCCTTAAAATAAATCTTAATTGCACAGCCTATTATTTGTGCAGTGATGCTACATATATCAATTGATATACTAATTAGTGTACCAACATATGCAATGATATTATTATTTCAAAATTATGATTCCACCTATTATACAAATTACAAATATAATTATGTCATATCATCTATTAATACACTAATTAATATACCAATTGGTGCATACCGTTCTTATTCGTGTCCTATATTTGTGCACGTGACATTGGCCCTGTTTGATAGAGCTGTGGAAAAGTGATTATAACTTATAGCATAACAGTTTATAGCTTATAGCTGTGAACATAAGCTGATTTTTGACTTATAAATTAAACTTCTCCTCCCCCACTCAAAGAATAAGTTAATTTTTGACTTACAAAAAATTATAAGCTGTATTGTTAAGCTGAACCAAACACATCAAAATAACTTAAATTAAGCTAAAAGTTAAAATAAACTAAAAATAAGCCTTACCAAATAGGGCCATTATTATCTTGCTTATTACCCAAGCATTAAGCATTTATTATTCAAACTTCTTAAATGTTGAAACTGAGATTGTTAAGGAAAATGAGCTTGAACAAAATCAGATATTGACTAATTAAGCATCGTTTGGAAACAGATTATTTTAATAATTTCTTAATTTTTTAGTTAAAATATGAATAAAAAATTAGTATGTTTGGAATGACTTTTTAATTTTTTTATGAAAAGATATGCAAGAAGTAGAGCCAAAATAAAATCTTAGACTTTTTGATATATATTATTGAATTTTTAATTTTTTTAGTGATTTTTTTGACTTTTAAACTAAAACAGTGAGTTGCCAAACAAGGCCTTACACTCTTTAACTAGGGAGCTTCTAAATTTTTTTTGATCACCTTCTAATTTATGTTTTGGGAAGTTGGTAAAAAGTTGGCTTTTGACTTTTTACAAAGCTTTTCAACTTTTTGAAAAGTGATTTGGGAAGTTGGTAAAAAGCTGACTTTTGGCTTTTTAGTTTAATATTTGTTTATGGTGTCAAATCAAATTAAAATGACCATAATACCCTTACCCAACATAAGAAATTTATTTTTTTATTTTTTTGTCAAAGGTTCCAATTTGTAATTTCACACTTGCGTTTTTGGCACTTCCCAAACCAATTTTATTGCGTTTTTGCCACTTGCGCTTTTGGACATTTTGACAAAAACGTGACTTTTTATTTTGGTTCCCAAAATGGCACATAATACACTCACTAAAAATACACTTACATTTTCTTTCAGGATACAAAAGTTTTTCCTTAAAATACTTAGTTATACAACGCGCGTATTTTCTAAAAACACCATATTAACTATGCATCTATTTAATAATAAGAGAATTATGTATTTATATAATCTTAATTATAAAAACTATAGTGTAAAAATCATAAAAATTTAATTAATGGGACATACAATCATGTAATGTTCCAAACTCATGTTATACTTTTATGTGTGCTTTTTATTGGTCATTGAAAAGAACGTAAGATTTAAAAATATTATGTGATATTATTTATATGATATTTTGACAAATATAAAACTGCAATGTACTCAAGTATTATTTTTCAACTACTTAACAAATAATGGTTAATATTGTCATATTGGTAAAACTTTTCACTAAAGTATTAGTTAAGAACACCACATAAATAATACAACATGATATTCAGAATGTAGTTAAGTCCCGATTGAGGAGTTAGGTTTGTAGTAAAAAAGTCAATATAAATAATTAAATCATTATATCTACTTTTTATACGTCTTTTTATAAAAATTTAAAAAATCAACTAAAATAACTAATTTTCAAATGAAACCTTAGTAAGACAAGACTAGACAAATTGAACTTCTCGCCATTTTGTAGGAGACCACGGAAGAGAGATTGGGGTGAAAGTAATTATTGAGCATTTTCTAAGCACAATATAACATTATTTATATAGTGTTCTAAATTAATCATGTACTTAAAGTCTTTACTAATGAAATATATTGGCTTATTTTTATTTGATAGTTAAGAGATAAAAAATTATTTATTTAATATTTGTGACTTTTATTAACCAAAAATATCAAGTAAAGAATGTTACGTATTACTTTTGAGTGTCAAATAATTTTTGAAGATCGGAGAAAGGGCAAAAAAAAATTAATAAAGGGAAGCTAGGTAGTGACGTCAATCAGCTGGGGACAACCATCAACCCATGCGCAATTGAGCGGTCCTCAATTCCTCCCACCCTTTTTTATGCTTCTCTCTCTCTCTCTCTCCCTCCTTCCTAACGGAATTTCTTCTCCAATCTTTCTCTCTCTCTGATTGGCTTCTGGCTTTGTCTTCTTCTTCTACATTTCTTCTGCCTTACAACACTAAATTACTCTACACAAAGCCAACCAGTACCCATCTCCCTCAGGTAAGCTTTTGCACTGCATGCATGGAAATTAAAATAATTCTTTCTTCTTCTTCTTCTTCTTCTTAGTTCAATCCACAATTCCACATTTAATTTTCAACCCATAATAGTTCACTACTTGTAATCACTAATCTTAACTCAGAGGTTCATAGATCAAGAAGTCTGATCTAGTCCATTGGTTCTATTCCCAGTTCAAAATGGTTTCTTCCTCAGATAATTCTTCTTCAATCTTCATCATCACCACTCTCTCTCTCTCTCTCTCTCACACGCACACACACAGACACACACACTCTCTCTCCATTCTAGTTACGTATAAAGTTTCTTGTATTTCTTCTTTTTTATTTTTATTTTTGGGTAAAGAAGACGATTAAGCATAAAAAGAGTCACCAAGATTGTAATAAGATGACAAGAATGGCCATTTCTCTTCAAGAAATATAGAGATTCACACGACAAAACTCACCTTTCGATATTTCTTCCTAAAACTCTTCCTGGATTACTCTTCCTTTCATAGCTTCACAATTTAATCAAAGTAGAGCTTTTTTGGGGTCTGCTCTACGCTTCTTTAACATCTCTTGTGTTTGTGTCTATCTGTGTGTAACGCAAACAGCTTTATACTATGAATTCACCAAATCTAGGCGAATTTGAAAGCTCAAATTCAAGGATAAATAAATATTTTAGCATTATCGTGCCCCTCTCTTTTCTCTTTCTCATAACCGTTCTCGAATTTCTGGATGTAGTTATGTTACGAACATAAAAATTGAATGCATAAGACATATAAATAAATAAAATTTTATAGAATTTATCATAAAGATCTATTTGTATAAAAATCTTATTCATTCCTGTAGATTATGTGCGTAATTCTGTAATCGATTTTTTTTATTTATTTATAATTTTAGAGTTAGTCAGCATCATCACTCTCCTTCCTTTTTTCTTTCTCTCTCTATCCTCCAGTTTTTGGGGTGCAGTCAGTCAGCATTATCTCGAACTCTCAGGCCATGAAAGAAAGAGGGTCAGATGTGCCTGGGAAATTCTCGACAGAAAGACAAATGGGTCAGAGTACCGTTTCAGAAATGAGACATTAGACCTGCAACCAAAGAGTGCTATCTCTCCCTTTTTTTTTTTTTGGGTTCTCTTTTCTTTTTAGTCTTCCAATGGCAGAGAGTGCTTCGATCCAATGAAAACGGTGCTCTTTCTTTTTGTCTCCCTCTACTCTCATTTCCCAACCCTTTTCTCTTTCAAGCAACGCATGCTTGGTTGTGTGGATTACATCATCCACCTTCTCCATTTGGCTATTCAACCTTTCTACTAATTACTTACCCAAAAAAAAAACCTTTCTACTAATTACTTAAAACAACAATAAGAAGGATGATTGTTTGCTACTACATCAAACTTGCATTTGTCTTGCTTTCCAAAAAATTAAAAAAAAATAAAAATAATAATTAGTCATTGGTGAACGTTTTCTTTTGAAGTAAAATATGCATGCTCAACTAAATCATTTCTCTATATTAATTTTGTATTTACATATGAAAATTTTTAATCAGACAACTTTATTACATAAAATGAGTCTTACAAACTGTGTGACTCACCCCATATGAAATAATTGCATCAATTCTGTGATTGAATTTTGTATATAAAAAAATTGTTTTCATATTATACTTGTTAATAGATTTAAGAGTCAAAAGTAGGGACTGAGGGTTGCTGTTGTTATAAGGCACAACAGTTGTAGTGTGAGGGCCTTTAGGAGTATTTTTCAAGCTTATTTTGATGATCCAAATCGTTTATATTGTAAAGTTTGTCGAGTATATTATCCATGTAAAAAATTAAATTAACTAGATATCGATAGCCCCATAATCGAGTCCTAATTATTTTTTAAAATCATATTAACAGTTGAACTCCCAAAACTAGTGTGGTTAAAAGAAAGTTAATTCAATGTTTTTTTTTTTCTTTTATCTTTTCAATTTTTGGGTCCACTTACTTTTTTATAAATATTTTATTTGAGTATAAAAAATAGTATGTATTTAAAAAAATATTCAAAAAAATGCATAAAATTTGAATTTATTGTGTACATTAAATTTAAATGTTACGTATGTTACTCTCAAAATTAATTTGATATATATATTTTAAAGTTTACTTATTGTTCTAAAGATTAATAATACAGAAATAAATTTTTGATACACAATAATATGGTTTCTTGTGGCTCCTTTTTTTTGGGGGCATGTAATTGTGGCTCCTTCATTGTGAATCAAAATATCAACTATTATGTTCATAATTTTATAAATATCAGACACATTATTCTGAATATATTTTTTTATATAAATTTTAAGTAAATGCTAACAAGCGTAATAAAAAAATATTTTAAAATTATTAAATTTAGCAATAAATATTTAGAGATCTATATATTTTATATATATATATATATATATTTTGGTACGCTTGGTACACTCATTAACGAGACTCTAAATTTTTATTTATAAACAAATCAATTTTCTTTTCTTCTAATAAATACAGAACATGTGTTTCATATTAATAATGTTGGGGATGTAAACCCCGTTCATGAAGCATCATTTCGACCATTCACCAGCACAAGACAACATCATTACCACGAACCTCTACTTGTCCGTTTCTTATTTCATTCAGACCTTGCACTCTGGCCATACCCACAACACCCCTCTCTCTCTCTCTCTCTCTCGGTTTTTATCAAACAAAAACAAAAAGCCTCATCATTTGGCTTCTTCTCTCATCCCCATAACTCATCATTATACGTGTAAAAATTGGCTTTGTTAATTTAACACGCGCTTATTTGCTTTCACAGGTTTAAATGTGGTGGGTGTTTGCTCACCACCAAATGAGTTTATCATTATATCTGATTACACTTGTCATCTTTTAATTTGTAGCCTTCATTATTTCTTCAATAATTTTTCTATTTACATATAAACGAATCATATGATCCGACATAATTCTCTCGCATATACATGAGATTCAGAAATAAAAAGTAAGACCGACTACATTTGAAAGGATTGTATCTGATTTTATAATCGGCTGTTGTATAACTAGATTATATTTTCTGAAAAAACACTATTCATGCAAAATGGCATTTTCGTAAATAATTATTATTTAAATAAACATTTTATTTTAAAATCAATATCATGCTATATAGACATTTGAATTCACTACTCATTTCTTTCTGTTCTACTTTTTAAGCTTTTTGTGCTGCTATTTTTGTTTCTCTCTTCGCTCTTCTCTCTTTTACATGTTTTTGTTACCGTTATGATTCAAAGATGATGGAGTAAAGGAATGTGGTGATGATCATGGTGATGGTGTTGAATTTGATGCAGTAGAAGTAGCAGTAGCAGTAGCAGCAGCAGCAGCAGGAAGTAGAGGTGGTTGTGATGGACACCATGGAATCATGCGTTCCACCTGGATTCCGGTTTCATCCCACAGATGAGGAGCTTGTAGGGTACTACCTAAAGAAGAAGATCGCGTCACAGAAGATTGATCTTGATGTTATACGAGACATTGATCTGTATAGGATTGAACCATGGGATCTACAAGGTACTGAATATATATATATATACACATATAATTCCCTCATAGATTGTCTTCTTCATATTAGGGTTTCTGTTGTGATGCATCATTCTCTAGATTATTAAGTCTAACATGAACTCAGTTCAGCTTCGATCTATCTTATATAAAGTTTCGGGGCAGTTTGACTCAATAATACGACTTGTTGTTAACGTCTTTTCCTAATACGAGTCAAGAAAATAGAGTATTTCTAGAAATGGAATGAGGTGATATATATTTTGCAGTCCTTACATCCCGCGCTATCAAATGACTCGTGCACTACTGAGGATTCGTCATTGTTGTTGTTATTTATTTTATTTTTTAAAAGTTTATTGCACCCCGCTAATGGATTTGCGTCATCAAACCAATCTGAAGTTCTGAACTAGCTTTGGGTTAATATGTGAATTTAATGGATTTTGAATGGCAACTTGCAGAGAGGTGCAGAATTGGGTATGAAGAGCAAAACGAGTGGTATTTCTTCAGCCACAAGGATAAGAAGTATCCGACTGGGACGAGGACCAACAGAGCCACCATGGCCGGCTTTTGGAAGGCGACAGGAAGAGACAAGGCGGTATACGATAAGTCAAAGCTCATCGGCATGCGAAAAACCCTCGTCTTTTACAAAGGCCGGGCACCGAATGGACAAAAGACTGACTGGATCATGCATGAGTATAGGCTAGAATCTGAAGAGAATGGTCCTCCACAGGTAAGCACATTCTCTCTTTCTCCGATTATTAAAAAACCCTTTTTAGTGCTCTCTCTTCTCTTCTCTATCCTTCAATCTTACCAAATGGGTATGAGTGAGAAAGTCCTCTCTCTCTCTCTCTCAAACACGAGTAATCATCCAGTCTTCTAATAGCGCTGTTTGCTGTGCATCCGCCATTTACATGCTCGAAAAATAAGGATACTAGTAGAGAAACCATTAAATACAATTAATCTGATATTTAGTCACATAATTTTCTGAACCCATGTGATAATTTCTGCTCTCCCAAGGTAGAGCTATTAAAATGATACAAACTTTTGAATACTTGTTCTTGAAAGAAATCCCGAACTCTAATTATTCTGATCATCTTCGGATTCAACAAAATTAATCCCAAAAACAAAAACAAAAAAAGAAAAAGAAAAAGCAAAGTAAAAAGTGCATTCAAATTAAGCCTACCATTTAAAAGACTTGAAATTTCATTTTATTCTTTTTTGAGTTCTCATATACTTTCCACGAGCCCCTTTTTTTCCAATTTGTGTGGTACGAAATCACTAGTGCTTTTTTATTCAAAAAAAAAAGAAGAAGAAATCACTAGTGCTTTTCATGCATGTTCCATAACCGTAGTGTCACTGTGTGTGTTTGGAAGGAAAGATGATGACTTTAAACATCTCTACAAGTCAAAAGTTAGAGGTACTTTTAGAGCAAATGAGTTTGCCTTCTTCTTCCAAGTCCTTTATCTACTAGGATGAGCTTTTCCTGGCTAGCTCATTCAAACTTGTCAAAAAGAAAAATTCCCAATTCTCTACTCAATTCAGCATGTACCTTTGACTACTCATCTACTACTCTTTAGCAAGCAGAAAGAAGACGAACAAAAAGCAAAAGGAAGTTAGAAAAGATCCAACAACTGAAAAGAAATTAGTTCCCCCCCCCTTTCAAAAAAGTATATAGAATTTGAACTGTGTTTGATCAGCTTTGTTCTAAATGTGATTCAAACCATGTCAAATTTAAATTTACACCATAAATTGAATACTTGTGTTGATCATATTTATTCTAAGTGTAACTCAAATCACATCAAGTATAAATTTATACCAGAGATTGAATATTTGGGTATTTTTCTAAGTATTTTTTTTTTACATTGCATTTATGTTTTCCAATTGAACTATTGCCAAGAATTAAAAGAAAAATAAAAACATGATATATATATATATATATTATCCTACTCAAATTATTTAAAAAAAAAAGTCATACAAATTTTTTTTTTTAATCTATAATGATGTGAGAGATTTGTGTACTATCATTTAAAAAATAAAGAATAACTCTAAGAACATAAAAAGTAATGTATATAGATCGGTAAAAGTTTTTAAAAGTGGATCCCACTAAAAAAAAAGAAATAATGTGTAAAATTTCTTATCCATTAATGTACATTATGTGTTTTTTTTTTTTTTTAATTTAATTTTTTTGTTAGTATCAAAAGTAAAAAAATAAAAGTTTATCAAAGTTGAAAATACCAATGTCATATCATTTCCGAATGAAATTCTGTATAAAATTTCTATTTTGTGAATCATCTTCCTATACACATTCCTCCATTTTATTGACTTGGTCAAGCTCTTGCAGGAAGAAGGGTGGGTGGTTTGCCGAGCATTCAAGAAGAGAGCAACAGCCCAAACTAAGAACATGGAAGCATGGGACTCAACCTACTTCTACGACGAACCAAGCGTAGTGAGCTCAGTTGTCGATCCAATTGATTACGTCGCAAGGCAGCCCCAAAACCATAATCAAAACTTCTTTGCCCAGAGTTTCTTATGCAAGCAAGAGTTGGAAGCAGAAAATAATTTAAATTTCATGCAGTCTGATCAGTTCATTCAGCTTCCTCAGCTAGAGAGCCCATCAATGCCATTAATAAAGCGGCCAAGCTCTTCAATATCTCTGATATCAGAAAACAACGATGAAGACGATCAAACAAGAGTGTATGACGACAACAACAACAACAATAATAAGAACAAGAAAGTGACAGATTGGAGAGCTCTAGACAAGTTTGTGGCTTCTCAGTTGAGTCAAGAGGACAGATATGAGAATGATCATCGTCATCGTCATGGAGTGTCGAGCTTTGGAGGGCATGGTGATGATTCGGATATGGCGCTAATGTTGTTGCAGAGTGGTAGGGACGAAGAAGACGGGAACAACAAGTTAAATGGGTTCTTGAGTTCGAGCTCGGACTGCGACATTGGAATTTGCATATTTGATAAATGAATAAATGAGGTTAGAGATGAAGACTTTTTATTTTTATTTTATTATTGATATAACGCTTGATGTTTTAAGACATATTCTGTAAAATTATGGTTGTGTGAATGAGTGAACAAAAAAATCTCCCTCTTTCTATAAGGTTTTAAATATTGGTACCAGAAAAAGAATCCATATTGCATCAATCATACAATTCATAATTGTGTGAAGTACTTGTGGATTTTTAAAATCATCAACGAAAAAAAATAAATTATGTTTTATAACAGCCAAATCAATCATATTAGTTATGAATTCACTTTATCGATTGTCACCCAATATGCTTGCCATTTTATTTTTACTAATATTGAATTCTAAAAAAATTGGTATTTGATATCAGAATACTAAATAAAAAAGGTTCCACACCCAATATGTATCGTGGCCAACATTTTGTATTTGGTATCAGAAGACTAAAAAAAAAAAAAGGAGAAATAACAGACGAGTGAAAGTTTCAAAAATAAATTATAAACTAGTAAAAACCTAATAATGAAAGTGTTAATGAAAATTCGGTTTGAACCTAATCGATAGTGATTGATCAATAGATTTAAATAGATTTTAAATAAACATAAAAAGATCAGACTTTATGATTGAGTTTTATGTCTTAAATAGATTAAGAATTTCTCTGAAGGTAATTAATTAAAGAAGGATTTGAACAGAAAAGAAAATATATTTATTCAATTAAATTGTTACTTGCTATCAGTTATAAGAACTCAAAGAAGAATAAAGAAGTAAAAGTGGGGATTGGAAAAAAGTTATTACTAATCTACTCCTAACAATTGCTAAGTTAAACTACTCCTAGATAAATATTACGTTTTTGTGAATAGTGGTTGAGATGATATTTGTATCTCTCTTGGCCTATGCTCAGCCACATAAGAGAAAGAGATAACCTAAGCCTATGATTTCCTCAACATTATCCATATAAGCATTTTGCAGATTTGATGCTTGATTTGATCTTTACTCCTTAATCTCAACAACTAACTGTCAAATTGTTGCCATTGATAACTTTCTGACCCTTCATTTAACATATCATCATGCCACGTCCCTAACACATCTGTTATGTCACATTAGCATGTCTACCGATAGAAATAAAAATAATAAAAACAAATGTGGTCAAAGTTATTCTTTGAAAATAGTTTATGATTTCAATCGATAAACCATAATGGAACTTGGCCATAATTAATAGGTCACAATCGACAAAAAAAATAAAATACGGTACAAACAAATATTAAAAATTTTCATGTATTGATAATATATTTTTGTATTACCACTGGATGCTAATTCTCACCCACCCTCCCACCCCCACCCAAAAACATATGGATAGACCTTTACTCGTATTTAAAACTATACTCATAACCCCATATTTTTTGTATTGAAAGGCTAAAAATGTACCGTGTCACAAAGATGGAGTGTTGTGTAGACAGAAACCTATATCAAGTGTTTGTATCTAGTTCTATGAATAATATCCATTTTTTAGCATTAGTGACTTTGCTGGATTAGTTTTAGTTAGGTTTTTAATTGGTAATCATGTTTGACAAAACTCATTTTAATTGTAATTTTATTTGATATTTTATTTCAGTGAAGTTATAAGTATTTAGATGTGAATCCAACCCAAATTGTACCAATGAAGAGGAGTTTGTGAATCCTTTCATGTTTGTGATTTTAGTCCAGTCGAAATTGTTTGACTGCTCAAGCGGTCATTTGTGCACTCGAGTGAAGAAACAAATCATCTAGTATTTTTGCAGAGCACCTGAATTTTTGGAAAGAAATTACTACAACAGAAGTAATCTATAGTGACGAAAAGTAGTGAAGAAAATAAATTTCGTCACTAAATAAGAATAATCCGTGACGAATTACAAAATTTTGTCACATATAATAAAAAAATAAAAATAATAGGTGACGAAATTTATTTTCGTCAACAAACACTTCTTTTTAGGTGAGGAAAAATTAAGTTTCGTCACCGAAGGTTTTTCCGTCAATTTTTTTTTTGGTGGCGCCAAAATTTTGCGACTTTTGGTGAGAAAAAAATTTGTCACTAATTATAAAATTATTAGTGAGGAATATATTTTCGTCACCAATAATTATATATATATATATATATTTTTTGAGAAACTTGATTTTAAATATTTTAAGACCACTTGGTGAGAAATATAGTTTTATCACTAATAATTTTTAATATTTTGAGGCTTTTTAGTGAGGAAATTATTTTGTCACTAATTTTGAAAGGGCAAGTTTTGACATATTGGGCGGTAATGAAAAAAAATAGACTGCTAACTTTTTCTCTCACCTCCCCCCCTCTCTTTATTGTTTATCAATTTTCCTTTTCGCTCTTTCTCTCTCTCTCTCAAAACAAAACACAAGTTAATTAGCTCTCTAAGTAACCTTTGGTGACGAAAGTAGTGAAGAAAATAAATTTCGTCACTAACTACGAATAATCCGTGACGAATTATAAAATTTTGTCACATATAATAAAAAAGTAAAAATAATAGGTGACGAAATTTATTTTCGTCAATAAATACTTCGTTTTAGGTGAGGAAAAATTAAATTTCGTCACTAAAGGTTTTTCCTCTAATTTTTTGGGGTGGTGCCAAAATTTTGAGACTTTTGGTGAGAACAAAATTTGTTACCAATTATAAAATTATTAGTGAGAAATATATTTTTGTCACCAATAGTTTTAAATATTTTTTTTGAAAAAAATTGATTTTAAATATTTTGAAACTATTTGATGAAGAATATATTTTTTTCATCAATAATTTTAACATTTTAAAATTTTTGGGGAGAAAATTATTTTATCACCAATTTTGGAGGGAGAACTTTGTGATATTGGCGGCAATGAAAAAAAAAAAAAAACCTACTAATTCCCCTCCTTTTTTTTTGGTGCTTCAGTTTTCTTCTCATCCCTCTCTTGTAAAACACATGTTCTTTGCCTTTAGCCCCCCTTCTCCTCATTCAGTGCCGCCACCAACGTCACCCGTTCTCCTCCTCCAGTGCCGCCACCGATGTCACCCGTGTTCTCTTCCAAGTAATCGTTAGTGCTGTCGACGTCGCTTATTCGATTATTTCTCTCTCTCTCTCTCTCTCTCTCTCTCTCTTCGTTAGTGCTGTCGACGTCGCTTATTCGATTATTTCTCTATTTCTCTATTTCTCTCTCTCTCTCTCTCTCTCTCTCTCTCAATTTCTCTTTTTTTCAATCTTTGTTTTTCCTAATTTTCAAAACTAAATTCATTATTTTCCCTAAGTTTGAAAACTACTGAGACACATATAGTGTCCCATATATTATTTCTTCAGACTAGTTATGAAAAAATGAGTGCTTGAATATAGATTTGTTAAGTTAATAACTCGTTAATGCTATTTGCTTTATATGCAATTAATGGAAAATATTAAATGTAGCAGATTTACTAAAAAAATAAAGATCAAGGGCACATATAAATTCTAGATAAATGTATTTTATGTACCTCAATTAGGGATTGCCAATATGTTAAAATGTATTTTATGTATCTTGATTAGGGATCGCCAATATGCTTATTGGGTTATTAAAGCCATGAATGTGGATTTTTCGCTCTTTTCAGTGCTATTGTGGCATTTATAATTCTTCTATCCCTTTATTGTTGTTTAATTAACAAGATACACTAACTCTTGCCTCTTTGGTTCTAGTGGGTTATAATGATAAAGTAACGTAGAAGAAAGAGAGAGACAAGAAATAGGGTTTCAAAATTCGTTGGAAGGGAAAAGGGGTTCTTTAAACCTTGTTTTGATTGACTGCTAATTAACCGAATAGCTGTGGTGATTGAAGGCGAACACGGCGGTCCTGAAGCCCTTTCGAGGTTCTTCAAAGCTTTACGGCAGTGTCCCAAAACAGAGAGAGGATCACAGCCGAACGATGCACTCAAAATAGAGAGAGGATCAAAATCAATTGCTGTGAGAGGCGAACGGTGCACTCATATCTTCAGTGGCGAGACTAGTTCGACGGTAAGGCACTCATCTCATCTCTCTTCTCTTCTTTTCGCTGTGAGAGGCTGCTATTGCTGTTGTTATATATATATACTAGAACACTTGACAATAGGCTTGAACTTGTACTTAGTGATGCTTGTATCTGGGGCTGCTTCAAAGCTGAAGAACCCCCATTTTCTTTCCTGTTCTGATTGAATTCTTCAAAAGTTGGAAACTTGAATTTGAAAGAGAACTCGGGTGTCTGTTTTTGGTCAAACCCATCTGAAAATTCATTTGTCTTCTTGTTTGGATTCGACCCCTATATATCCATGGTTGTAACTCTGTTTTTGGCTCAATAGGAATCGAATCTTTAAGACTGTTTTCTGTAGAAGAAACCTCTGATTGGTTTGAATTGTCTGCTGATGACCTGTCATTTCTTTTAAATCTGCAACAAACAAAAAAATCAGAAACAACGTAAGATTTTAAAACAAGTAAGATTTTTTAATTACCATAAAAATAGAAATAGAAAATTGAAGACAAGAGTTTTGAAATACCTGATAAGGTATCTCTTAAAGAAATTGAAAAGAGGAAAAAAATAGGTGGAGACAGAAGTAGAAAATGTCGACAAAGAGAACAATTTTTTGGTACAAGAACTGTGCATCAGAACCCATATCCACTGACTCGAAATGGGTATAAACCACGCAATTAAGCATTCATTTTCTTATGCCAAACAAAGGGAACATGATGACTAAATTGCTGATAGCTTCTGGTGGACAATAGAGATAACTGAATAGAAATGGGAGGTTGTTTCTGCTGCTGTTCTAAAGGACGGGGACTGAACAGATCGCCACCATTCTATCATGTCAATAATATCTCTCCCTTACACAGGATTATTTTAATTTTTTGGTATCAACTGATCCTAACCTTTATAGCTTTAGCAGAATTTTGTGCCTAGCATAATCTTGGTTTACGTGGTATAGTTATTTTTCATATAGGGTGAAACATCATTTTGTTATCTAGAATTTATTCTATTTTTGGATTCAGCTACTTAATGAGATAATACGGAACTCGAATTTCTTACTTTACTGTCATTTGCCAATGGTTACTTGTATTGAAGTGAACCATGTGATGCTTTTTTCCCTTTTTAATCAGTAATTGTATAGTTCAGACTTAATTTTATTAGGTTTTGGTGCAGAAACTGCAATTTTGTTTCCTTATGCAAGCTCTTGTCAGCTAGAAGGTATGAGGGATATTTAGTTGCTTTTGAACTTGGGAATTCGAGGCTTTCCCCAAGTCTAGCGTGAACTAGATTTGCTATAAACTATTTGAAGAACTTGGTGGACATGTTCATTCATTTTCCTTTTTCATCAATTGTGTTCTTTTTAATCTTTATTATCTTGGTTACGCATAGATGATTGAAGAGTTGCGATGCTAACAACTCTAGTTGTTTTTTACACTATGACCATATGATGTAGTTGCAAACTATTCATCATGATCACCAATGCTATGAGGATCCTCTTTTTCACCATGTCATGTAGATGCTAAGCTGGAAAATTTTCAACATGATCATGGATCCTATGAGAATCTTCTTTATGTCTATACTAAATGAGAATCGATTTTTATCTCATACATACAAGCCTTTCACATTTTATTGGAACTAAACCAATGTAGCCTTTCACATTTATTTGTCTATTCTAAATAAATTCTATACGATTGGTTAAGTGGTATTACTATCTGATTTTTTTTTGTTTGTTTGTTCTGTGCAGTGGGCTCTTACTGGAGAATCACTTCTTGTCACCAAGAGGACAGGTGATGAAGTCTTTTCTGGTTCAACATGTAAGCAAGGAGAGATTGAAGCTGTAGTGATAGCAACTGGAGTTCACTCTTTCTTTGGAAAAGCTGCACATCTAGTTGATTCCACTGAAAGTATTAGTCATTTCCAGAAGGTGATTAAGAAACCTATCATTGTTGAGCTATGCCTCTTGCCTTGTACATGGCAACTTAGAAATACTGCAACATGGAGTAGAGTTCCATAAGTAATTTAAGACTATGTAAAATGCAAGAAATTTCACACCAGGACAAGGCAACCTGAAACTTGTTAACAATTAAAACTCCTTGAATATAAATAAGTTATGAGAGTATTGAAGTTTTCATCAAAATTTCAAACAAAACCTTGTTGGCAAACATTGTGAGAAATGTAAAATGTTTTTCCTGCAGGTTCTTACTGCCATTGGGAATTTCTGCATTTGTTCTATAGTTGTGGGGATGATTCTAGAAATCATTGTCATGTACCACATACAGCTCCGTTCATACAGAGATGGAATCAATAACCTTCTTGTTCTATTGATTGGAGGAATACCTATAGCTATGCCAACAGTATTATCTGTCACACTCGCAATTGGTTCTCATCGACTCTCTCAACAGGTACAGCTCCTAATTGAGGCATCATTGTTTGTCACACACAAATAATTAATACAAACTCAAAATAATTCATGTAAGAGCCATAATAGAAGAATCTTAAGCTCAAATTTCAATGCTAACTACATAACAACTCTTTATTCTTTTAATTTTTCCTTTTTTTTTTCCTTCTGTTACCTAAAGGGCGCCAATACGAAAAGGATGGCAGCAATTGGAGAAATGGTTGGAATAGATGTCCTCTGTAGTGATAAAACTAGAACTCTTACCCTGAATCGCCTCATTATCGATCAAAACCTTATTGAGGTATGGAAAGCTGACTTCATCAAGTCTCATTTTCCCTAAGCTAATACATACTTGATGATAAATTTCTTCTGTATGTTTTTAACAAAGATATGGACAAAGACATGATTGTCCTGCTTTCTGCCAGAGCATCAAGATTGGACAATCAGGATGCCATTGATATAGCCATTGTTAACATGCTTGCTGATCCAAAGGAGGTCAGAGGAAAAATATATTGCTCTCAAGTTTCTAGTTTTTTTCTTTCTTTTCTTTTCACTTGTAGGTTATTCAAGAAGGGAAAAATCTTTTTGTCTACAGGCACGTGCAAACATCACAGAAGTGCATTTCTTTAATCTAGTGGACAAATGCACTGCAATTACGTACATTGATTCTGATGGCAACTGGTATCGGGCCAGCAAAGGATCTTCTGAACAGGTAACCACACTATAAAGAAACAATCACTGTAATTCTATAATCACATTGTTTCTAGCACTTATGGTTATGAACCTGAGAAAAGATTGTGTAAGTTTTCCTGACACAAACTAGGAAATGTTCATTAAAGTCCTTGTAGATCATGATCAGGGACCGTGATTTTTGGAATTTATAAAATTATTTTACAACATAAGTACCATGAATTAAGGATGCTAACATAGACTTTGATGTGGCACAAAGTATTGAACCCATCAATTAAGAGTTTACACGACATGCAATATTGATTGATCCAGTGTTCATAACATATCCATCCCTAGGTTTATATACCCACCTTTGTTCTTTGATCACCCACAACATTTTTTATTCTCTGCATCAATGTGGAATGTATAATACAAATGTTTAGCAGAGTTTACCATCACAAACATCCTCAAACTTGGACAACCCACACGATAGATTGGAAAAATGAGTTTATGGTGAATTGGTAATCAGGACCCTATATCTGTCCATTTACTGCTTATAATAAAGAATTATAAATTATAATTATCACTGCATTTGATAAGAGAGGAAACACTCTTTTTGGCAATGGGATATATATATTTAATGAAAATTGGAATATTACACCCTTAAATTAGCGGCGAGACTAGTTCGACGGTAAGGCACTCATCTCATCTCTCTTCTCTTCCTTTCGCTGTGAGAGGCTGTTGTTGTTGTTGTTATATATATATACTAGAACACTTGACAATAGGCTTGAACTTGTACTTAGTGATGCTTGTATCTGGGGCTGCTTCAAAGCTGAAGAACCCCCATTTTCTTTCCTGTTCTGATTGAATTCTTCAAAAGTTGGAAACTTGAATTTGAAAGAGAACTCGGGTGTCTGTTTTTGGTCAAACCCATCTGAAAATTCATTTGTCTTCTTGTTTGGATTCGACCCCTGTATATCCACGGTTGTAACTCTGTTTTTGGCTCAATAGGAATCGAATCTTTAAGACTGTTTTCTGCAGAAGAAACCTCCGATTGGTTTGAATTGTCCGCTGATGACCTGTCATTTCTTTTGAATCTGCAACAAACAAAAAAATCAGAAACAACGTAAGATTTTAAAACAAGTAAGATTTTTTAATTACCATAAAAATAGAAAAAGAAAATTGAAGACAAGAGTTTTGAAATACCTGATAAGGTATCTCTTAAAGAAATCGAAAAGAGGAAAAAAGTAGGTGGAGACAGAGAAGTAGAAAATGTCGACAAAGAGAACAAATTTTTGGTACAAGAACTGTGTATCAGAACCCATATCCACTGACTCGAAATGGGTATAAACCACGCAATTAAGCATTCATTTTCTTATGCCAAACAGAGGGAACATGATGACTAAATTGCTGATAGCTTCTGGTGGACAATAGAGATAACTGAATAGAAATGGGAGGTTGTTTCTGCTGCTGTTCTAAAGGACGGGGACTGAACAGATCGCCACCATTCTATCATGTCAGTAATATCTCTCCCTTACACAGGATTATTTTAATTTTTTGGTATCAACTGATCCTAACCTTTATAGCTTTAGCAGAATTTTGTGCCTAGCATAATCTTGGTTTACGTGGTATAGTTGTTTTTCATATAGGGTGAAACATCATTTTGCTATCTAGAATTTATTCTATTTTGGATTCAGCTACTTAATGAGATAATACGGAACTCGAATTTCTTACTTTACTGTCATTTGGCAATGGTTACTTGTATTGAAGTGAACCATGTGATGCTTTTTTCCCTTTTTAATCAGTAATTGTATAGTTCAGACTTAATTTTATTAGGTTTTGGTGCAGAAACTGCAATTTTGTTTCCTTATGCAAGCTCTTGTCAGCTAGAAGATATGAGGGGTATTTAGTTGCTTTTGAACTTGGGAATTCGAGGCTTTCCCCAAGTCTAGCGTGAACTAGATTTGCTATAAACTATTTGAAGAACTTGGTGGACATGTTCATTCATTTTCCTTTTTCATCAATTGTGTTCTTTTTAATCTTTATTATCTTGGTTGCGCATACATGATTGAAGAGTTGCGATGCTAACAACTCTAGTTGTTTTTTACACTATGACCATATGATGTAGCTGCAAACTGTTCATCATGATCACCAATGCTATGAGGATCCTCTTTTTCACCATGTCATGTAGATGCTAAGCTGGAAACTTTTCAACATGATCATGGATCCTATGAGAATCTTCTTTATGTCTATACTAAATGAGAATCGATTTTTATCTCATACATACAAGCCTTTCACATTTTATTGGAACTAAACCAATGTAGCCTTTCACATTTATTTGTCTATTCTAAATAAATTTTATACGATTGGTTAAGTGGTATTACTATCTGTTTTTTTTTTTTGTTTGTTCTGTGCAGTGGGCTCTTACTGGAGAATCACTTCCTGTCACCAAGAGGATAGGTGATGAAGTCTTTTCTGGTTCAACATGTAAGCAAGGAGAGATTGAAGCTGTAGTGATAGCAACCGGAGTTCACTCTTTCTTGGGAAAAGCTGCACATCTAGTTGATTCCATTGAAAGTATTAGTCATTTCCAGAAGGTGATTAAGAAACCTATCATTGTTGAGCTATGCCTCTTGCCTTGTACATGGCAACTTAGAAATACTGCAACATGGAGTAGAGTTCCATAAGTAATTTAAGACTATGTAAAATGCAAGAAATTTCACACCAGGACAAGGCAACCTGAAACTTGTTAACAATTAAAACTCTTTGATGTGGCACAAAGTATTGAACCCATCAATTAAGAGTTTACACGACATGCAATATTGATTGATCCAGTGTTCATAACATATCCATCCCTATGTTTATATACCCATCTTTGTTCTTTGATCACCCACAATATTCTTTATTCTCTGCATCAATGTGGAATGTATAATACAAATGTTTAGCAGAGTTTACCATCACAAACATCCTCAAACTTGGACAACCCACACGATAGATTGGAAAAATGAGTTTATGGTGAATTGGTAATCAGGACCCTATATCTGCCCATTTACTGCTTGATGAGGTTATAAGTTTCTGCTTCCCGGGTGGATGGGTCGGACCGGTCCAGGCTCTTCAGACTCCAGCTTAGGGTGATGACTCCGTCAGGTGACCTGCATGCAAGCCCAGAGGGGAACGGGGTAGTCCCCCAGTGAACCCTCCGGTGTGAGAATTAGTAGAGTAGAGTATGAGAAAAACTGTGTAGAGAGGGATTGAGAGAGAGAGATAGCTTAACCTTATTCTTGTCCTTCTCCCCTTCCTTATATTCTTTAGTTATCATTTTTCCTGTCTCTTGTGACGTGCTTTTCTTCGCCGAAAGCCTGTGCCGTAGCTTACCTTGTTCAGGGTGATGGAGGCTCTGTTCCGGCGGGGGGGTGCTGTCGTAATAAATGCCGTGATGGGATGCATTAATGGTGATGTGTTGTGATAATAACTCTGCAGATCTTTGTCTGCTGATGTGGCCCGTGTCCCACCTGCCATGTGCCCAAATGCCATTGGCCCTCCATGTCTAGATGGCCTCCAGCTGTCCTGGGCTTTGCCAACCGGGTTATGCCATTGGTCCCAAGCGATGGGTTTGGGGTGGTTTATTGTGGGCTGTATGCCTTGTGGGCCTATCCATGTCACTGCTTATAATAGAGAATTATAAATTATAATTATCACTGCATTTGATAATATAGGAAACACTCTTTTTGGCAACGGGATATATATATTTAATGAAAATTGGAATATTACATCTTAAATTAGCGTATCTTGCTTTAACTTCTCTGGACTTCATATATGGTTGAGTAAAGAGAAAATCAAACGAAGTACGAACTGTATTAACATGCCATAAGTACTACATTTTAGTCTCAAGCATTCATTGGAATTGTCAGATGTGGCTATCAATTCTATTGGCATCGTTCATTTCTTATATCCATAGCTTCTTAAGTACATTATTAAGTTCCTCTGCAGAATTTAATCACATTTTTTTTTTACTGAGTGCAATGTGAGCTAGATTATTTATTGTTTCCCAATGTATTCTTTTTTCAATATCCCAATTTAGTTGATAGATGTGTCAACTTTGGTATTCAGGGCATATATATATATTTTTCCAAATATGTCCGTTCAATCATAAGATTTTGCATTTGGATATTTGAGTACTTAAATTGACTGCTTTAGAAACTCAATGTGACATATTGTGGGTTTTCTTTCTGTGTCATGTTATCTGTTTTTTAAGCCAGACTCATTGTGTACACAATTTGTATTGACATGGATAGAGAGGTCTATACAATGTTAATGCTTTTCTTGTTTATTTTCTTTGCAGATTGGTTTTTGATGACGTTTGGAAGCATACTTGCAAATTAAGATCAAGCGTTGAATTTTTTTTTTTCTTGAACTGATACTTAGTTGTATTTGCAAATCAAGATCGAGTGTTGATTTTTTTTTTTGTGGATGGTTTTTTTGTTATAGTTAATGGATTATTATTAAATTTGTTTGATGGATATATTTTGATTTATAATATAAATTTTTAAGTGAATTTTTTTGTGGAGTGGTGTACAATAGCTAGTGGATTTCTTAGTATATTTAAAAGGCTACTAATTGAAATTGAAATATAAAATATGGAACAAGTTTAGTTACAATTTTTTTTCGTCATTTGTACTTGTTATTATGACAAATTAATTATTCGTCGCTAATAAATATTTTTTGTGACAAAAAATTTTAATTGATTTTGTTGTTTGGTGACTAAAAATTTCGTCACGTATATAAATATATTTGCGACGAAATATATTTCGTCACCCATGTATGACTTTTGGAGACGAAAAATTTCGTCACCTTTACATCTTACAGTGACGAAATTATTTCCTCATCAATGATCAACATTTGTGACAAATTTATTCGTCAACTAAAATTATAAATATGGTACTGAATAATTATTCGGTGACGAAAATGAGAATTTTTAGCGACAAAATCTTGTTTTATTAGTGACAAAAAATTTCGTCACTCAACTAATTTCATTGGTGACGAAATTATTTTTCGTCACGGTGGTTTTTAGTGACAAACATTCAATGACGAAATTGGTGACGAAAAAACATTCAATGACGAAATTGGTGACGAAAATATTTCGTCACAAATATCTATAGTGACGAAATTAGCTCTTTGGAGACAAAAAAAATTCGTTATTTAAGACCCAACTTGTTGTAGTGAAAGTTTTACCGCTCGAGCGGTGAAAGTTGCGCTCGAGCGGTCAGCCTATATGTTTTGTACCGCCTTTAGTCACACTACTCGAGCAGTAAAATGTGCACTCGAGCGGTTTGCGCAATCCTGTTTTCTATAAAGTGCACTGTTCGCTATTTTTAGGGTTTGTGCCATCTAGATTTTCAAAGAGGAACAAGATACAAAGTGTTTTATATTGGAGAGTGCTTTATGAGTGTTTTCTTGATGATTTAAGAGTTATCAATGGATTCGTGAACTTCATATCAACATCATCAAGGGTTTGTTTGTTTTTCTTTATTCACAAAAGAGAGAATTGTTCTTCGGTGGATTCCGAAAAACTTGAGCCTAAAACTTTGGTGGATTTCGGAATGACTCATTGTCGTGGATTCAACATCAGCGTTGTGAATTCAACATTGGACAAGACAATTCCAAGGCGAAGATGGTGTTGGAAGAGGCACATTGAGATTGGTTTAATTCGAGCGTATATTCGCTGAGGAATTGAAATAGACTTGTGTAATTCTTTTTTGTCTTCTTAGTGGATTGTTTTATGACTTTGGCCCGTGATTTTTTTATTACAATTTGAGGCACTCTAATTGTGGTTTTTCCATGTTAAATCGTCGTATCGATTTGTCTTTGATTGTTTGATTGAAATTGTCATTCGTTATTTAAAATTGAAACATAATCACAAATCAATATCTTAGGTTTTTAGATTTTTCAATTGATATCAAAGCAGATCACTCTATTCTTATTTTTTCAAAGCTATTTGAGTGAGATCATGTTTGATTTGTGATAATGGATTCAATTCGTGAGGAAAATTCTACAGTTCGACCACCTCTACTTGATAGATCTAATTATTCTTTTTGGAAAGCTCAGATGAGAGCATTTTAAAAATCTATTGATGAAAAAGTTTGGTAATTCGTCATGTGTGGGTGGACTGAACTGATGATTACCATTGATAGAGTAACTCTCCCCAAACCAATTGATAAGTGGAACACAACCGAAAACCAAAATAATAACTGGAATAGTAAAGCTATCAATTCTCTCTTTTGTGCCATCACACTAGAAGAGTTTAGTTGTATTTGCAATTGTGAAGTCGCAAAAGAGGCTTGGAATATCTTACAAACTATTCATGAGTGCGCTTCTTTGGTTAAACGCTCAAAACTTCAAAGGCTCACGTCTAGTTTTGAAAACTTTTCAATGAAAAATAGTGAGCCCTTTGATGAATTTCATGCGAAGTTGAGTGACATTATAAATTCGAACTTCAATTTAAGTGAAAAAATACTAGAATCCAAGATTGTGGGAAAAATTTTGAGGTCCTTGTCCGATCAGTTTCAACCAAAAGTTACGACTATTTAGGAAGCACTACAACAAAAAGAGTCTTTGGAGATAAAAACTAATGACGAAAATAAATTTTGTCACGAAAGATGTACCTTTTAGTGAAGAAAATAATATTTCGACTTCAAATGTACCATTTTTAGAGAGAAAAATAAAATTTCGTCACCAATCTACATACATAATAAAAAAATTAGGTGACGAAATTATTTTTCGTCATTATTTTTATTTTTTTGTCATCGAAGATTTTCCTGCTAATTTTTTTGGGTGGCGCCAAAATTTTGAGACTTTTGGTGAAAAAAAAATTGGTCACCAATTATAAAATTATTAGTGACGAATATATTTTCATTACCTTTAATTTTTAATAATTTGATATTATTTAGTGAGAAAACTATTTTCGTGGTCAATAATTTTTTCTTTTGGCGAGGAAATAATTTTGTCATCAATTTTGGAGGGAAAATTAAGCGGCAATGAAAAGCAAAATAAGCTACTAATTTTTTCCCACCTTTTGTCTAGTTGGTTTCCTCTCTCTCTCTCTCTCTCTCTCTCTCTCAAAACACGCACACATAATAACGCCTTCCTCCTTTTTGCCCTTGTTACTCCCCGCTATCGTCACCCCTTTTCATTGTTCAGTACCGTCGCCGACATCGTATCTCCGAGCAAGCGTATTGTTCTCTCTCTACTCTGGACTTGTATAAACAAGGCTCCACTTTTTACATCAAACCCAGTTTTTTTTTTCTTCTTCTTTTATTTGAGCTTGTTTTGCTTCAATTTCGTTGAGTTGTTTTAGAATTTTCCTGGGTTTTAATCTTCATAATTTTTTTAGCTTCTAATCTAGCTTTATTGTTGATATGGTAAATAAATTTTGTATTTTTTTTTTCTTTATTGAGCGATTTAAAAGCTTTGATTTATCATTTGAATTTTCAAGTTTTCATATTTTTTGGATTTTTTTTGGTAGTTAATGTATGTAGTTAACCATTAGATTTATAAACTAGGGTTTCGATTCTGGTGATGTATGCGTGGTTTTCTCAGATTGAACAAAGATTTGACTTTTATTTGCTTAAAATCGTGGAAAGTTCAAACACAATTCCATATTATTGTGATTAAAAAAAATAAAATCATGGGTCAAAGTCACAAAATAATCCACTAAGAAGACATAAAGGAATTACAT